TTTAAATCATCTTGGTTCTAATACTTGTCCTCAAATGAATAACACAATTTGTAATGATTGGTCCGCTACTAGTTACTGCTGTTACACATCTCTACCCCCTCTGACTGCTATGGGTACTTGTATTGTCAGGGAGTCAACCAGCCCCTGACCACTATGGGTTCTGATACTGCCAGAGAGGTTAATTTGATTCTTTTTAATGTGATATGTCACTCATTTTCAATCAAGTAGAATCATTACATATTTCTGTATAACTCATCACTTCAGTGCTATCATGTGTTAACTCCTCATGTGATTTAATAGCAGTTAACCCCTTTTATGCACTAAGGTGACATTATGATACATATGACAATTGACAGTTTAATAGTGATTTTGCCATATTTCTGCCTTTTCTCGACTTAAACTTCTATATGGAAAAAAGAATCATCATTTCAATTTCCTCTTTAAATGATTCATGGTTTTGTCATGTTTTGAGGATGGACAAGTTTAAGATATTTAGTGTGGTACAGGTTAATAATATTCATTGTCGTTATTTATAGATGAACAGTAAGTTTTAAGAAATATCATAAAACTCACCACAGGACAGTTTAATAAATTATTTTAAGACTCATTTTGAATATGTCTTTATAAAAAAGAGTCTATTATTATGTGGGTTTATAATAATAATAATTATCTATATTAAAGAAATTAAAGAAATTAGGGCTTATCTTTTAAAGTAAGGGAATCAAAATAGTCTAAGAAGATTTGGGTTTTTCCCAGCTAATCTGTTGGTAATAAACTTTTACAGTTACAGCTTCGAAAATAAGCGCAACAGGTTGGACAGGGAGTGCACTGTGAAGCTATAACAGTAAAAGTTTGTATGTACCTAGTACGGATAAGCTGGGAAAAACCCACATTTGCTGAGTTCCGTATAACATCTATTTCATAGAATATAATACAAAAATGACGTCATGGAATTTTCTTTATGGTGATAAAGTACAAGGAAATGTACTAGCGGCCCTGTTTGTAAGTATCACAGTCACAAAATAAAGATGATGATGGTGGCTAATTAAATTCTGAAAGTTACGACTGTATTTGACTATTTAGACTGTTTAAGTAGGTGTAAACCTTTCAAAGATGTCACCTTGTTAGAGGTTGACCTAATTAACAAACTTGTGAAAGTAGCCTCTCGCCACTCGATGCACTGTTAATTATTTAATGACCTACATAATAAGAGTGGATGATACATGTAATTATAAAAAAAAATCATGTCATTGTTGCATAAGCGTATTGCTTTAATTTAAAATATATAATATTAATATATAATATTCTTTAAAATGGAAAAAAATGTGCTGATAAAAGAAAGAAATGGAGAAATTTCAGTTATTTATAGTCAATAGGTTACTGGTTAGGAAGTGATTTCTTTGGCTTGTGCTGGTGCTCTCGTAAAACCAACCAAACAAACATGCCTTTGTTTTACTTAGCATGGCTACTGTTATTTGATAAGATAAAGAATGTTAAATGCATTTTAAAATCTTTAATTTTCCTGTACATTAAAGCAGACTGGTTTCGACCAGTTAAAATTGTATGAATTAATTATTGTCATTGAAAGAGAATAAATTTGCCAGTTGTAAAGTACATAGTCATAAAATAAATCTAAACTTATTACAAAAGTTATGTCAGCAGGGTTGTTTACATATGGTCCATGACTGAACTCTTCAAATGTAAGCCATGTAAAAACTCCCCCAATATGCCATCAGTGTAAGGTCCTTAGTTACTACTTAGTTGTTAAATTAGTACCTGAAGTATAAGTTTAAAATTACTTGTTTTAGGTTGATTGCGAAACAAGTTCTTGCAACTTACATTGATTACTTTTGAGTCTGCTTCCAGGAACTAACCAATACCGGTGCTGTATGGGGAAACATTGGTCGTGACCCGAGTAGGGCTTGAAATTTTGATCCCTGGGTTGAGAGGCAGACACCTTTACCACTAGGCTACCACTCCTAACTTGAAGTTACTTTTGAACTGTACAAAATTCATTTTATTGAAAGTCCATGATAAAAAAGAAAGAAAAAAAAACATGCGTTGTGTTAATGTTTAAATATAAAGTTACAGTAGTTTTGCATCCAGGCACAAAACAACTAAATCTTCATCATTCATGCTTTGCTGTACAATAATATTACCATAAAACAGGGAAAAGACCACGATTTTCATGTCTGTGTGTCAATAACTTTCTTAAAAGAAAACTTTCCACATTAATTTTCTTAACCTCATAGTTATTTTTTATCCTGAAAAAGTCAATGACCTCCTTGAAACTGTATTTTTCACAGGGAAATAGAAAATAATAAAAATAAAAAATATCCTTAAGAATAAGAAGTACATCTGTCAGAATAAGACTATGGAAATTTACAAAAAGCTGAGAATCAAAATCTATACAAAATGTAGGTTATTGAAATGTTTGATTTAAAGTTCAAAGGGTATAAATTTATTTTTTAAATGAAATATTTAAAAGTTATATTTTACTTTCAAATTAGGTTGTTATGTTGGATCTCGAAGAGCTTGTAACAGAGCATGTCTGTTTAAATTGTAACACATATGTTTTGTATGTGACCAAAATAAAATGTTCCATTACAATGTTAGTAACAAAGTATTATGCCGCTATTTTTAGTACAATTTGAACTATTTACCAATGATTTTGATTAAGAGCTATAATTGTCTCTAATGAAACTATACACTCATATTTCTTTTGATCATACAAATATTTCCCCCCCCCCCCCCCCCAAAAAAAAAATATATAACCAATAATTTTAATTAAATGTAGGCAGCAAATATACATGTATAGCTAATGTACACTTTAAAGACGGTCATTATAAACAAACCTATGGTGCCTGGTTTGACTGTAAGAGAAAACCATGCCTGCAGAACCAGCTATGCTCTGCATATCTTTGCTTTCTGACCAAACCTTACATTTACTGTTTGGCTTTACAGTCAGAAAATATTGATACTGTAATTCCTTAAATAGCTCATAGACTGGTCCAATTTCCAAGCAGGGCAAGTTCATTTTACAAAATTAGGAAGGATAGGGTTAATATTATTTTAATAAACCACAGTTACGATCAAGATGTAATGTTTTTTATTTGCGTTTAGAATGGTTGAAAGTTTCTTGGTTTCTGTTGTTTTTTTCCCTCTGCAATATCTTCACAAAACTTGTCAAGTAAATTGTCTCTGCAGGATATTTTGTTCATTATAACTTGCTATGACATAACCTCGTAAAGTGTAAAATGCCAGAATGTGTTTTGGAGGGAAAGGAAAATAAAAACACGCGGACAATTAAACGTGTACTATTTTGAAATTTAATGAGAATCCAGATCTATTTTGAAGTCGGAATATGAAGTGTATATGACAGATACGACACAATATTCATCACTGTCGTAAACTTTTGAAGTCGGTTGTCACATAAATAATTTACGAGGGACTTCGCCTCGAGGACGCCCATCACCAGTGTATGTTTAGCATAATTTACATGTCCGTTGGTCACATAAGTGTTTTGATGGAAGAGTATTGTCTCTATATTTCTATAACCTTCTATATATATATAGTCAATAGTTGTACTCTTATGCTATTTTTATATTCTGGTTTTTATTGAAGTGCACCGAAAGTTTTAATACTCTACTTGATATACCACAATTCATACTAAATATAACTTACTACAATGTTTTGAATAACCCTTTGTATATAAATAATAAGTTAGCATAGAAGGAATGCTGTACTTCTGTCGAGAAGAGTTTTAAAATATAATCTAGAATGTGCTATAATAATTTTAAGGCTCAAGGGACGTGTACATGAATATATTTTATGACAATTGCCAGCATATGAAATTTGAGTGGAAATAGATGGTGTTAAAAAAAGGTGTAAATATCAGGTGCTAAGTAGAATTTTAAGTGAACGAAACAAATGTACTTCTTTTGCAAAAGCTTGTGTTAGTACACAACCTTTACAAAATGAAGACCTTAAAAATTATCAAATGTTTATGAAATCATAACACAAATTCATACTATCATAAAAGATAAAAGCTTTAATATTGTGGTCATGTGACTCAACGCAAAAAATAAATTGTGAAGTCTATCAAGTGATCAACTTCCCGTCTTTTTTTTTTCAGCACTAGCATATTTCATTTAAGTTACACAATTTCATGATCGAATATATTTTATAGATAACATGAATAAAGTAGTAAGAAATATTAATAGGAGCAGATGTTTAAGGATGATTTATCATATATTTTGACATGGTTATCCATTTCAACAGTAGTAAATGTGTACCGTAAGACAGACCGATCTCGTGTTTTTTTAATCTGTGTACTTAAACGTAAAACATTGTGTTTCGTACAAAATCTGTCAAGAGATGTGAGCAAATTTATTATGGCCTTCATAAGTTGTGACTTTAACACTCTACATGCATACAGAAAATCTAGAAACCTGACAGCAATTTGCTTAACATTCTTGTTGTTGCGGAAATCTTCCTTATTATATTAGAAAGCTAGACTTTGTTGTTAAACTGTCTCGAAGTATAAAGCTTAAGTTTTCGTTAGATTGAGTATAATATTACATATGACATAATACTTTTACTTAATACATGTCTCTTACAGTACATTTACCATAGCAGAAATGTTGGCTTCTGTTAAGACAAAGATTTATTTAAAAAACACTAAGCTGATTACCAGTCTTATTTTCTTTGACCGGTTCCCAAAATTCAAAATCCCATTCTTCTGTTAGATGTATGGTTTAATTAAACCAGAAGAATACTGGAACCATTTTGCAAAATCCACAAGTATTGAGCCAAGCCAGCCTTCACATATACACAGTTTGAATGTTTCTATCCTTTAAGTGATACAAATTTTAACAAATTAAATAATCATGTTTACAATGTATTTCCCTAAAGTTGATAACAAACAGCTCCAAAATGGACAAGTTCGTTTAAGAAATTTAGGTTTAATGATTAACATCTTTTTTTCTCCTCTGTTTCAGATTTCTCCACACTCAGTTTGGAAGATGTTGATTCTGTGTCAGAGGCAGATCGGGATACCCTGGCACCCCTCCCTCCTCCACAATGGAACAATCAGTACCCATATAGTAGTTCTAACTACCTGCCACAGAACTTGAGTTATGCACCACCTTACAGTTACACAAGCACGGACTCACAGAGTTTTGTTGGTAGTTTTGTGGACGGTGCTGATAGCCGCGTTGGCGGTTTTCCTGGTGGCGGCGGAAGCATCGCCGGTGGCAACAATAGTGCTGGGTCCGTGCACAGCGGGTCTGGAGGTGAGTATATTACTGTCATGGTAAATAGTTGTTTTAAAGTGTAGGGATCTGTTTTTCTTGGCAACATTTGGTTGTTATAATAAGACAACAAATGAGCCTGAAACATTTGTTTGAAGGTAAGTCATAGAAACATTGCTGAAAAAATGTCCATTGGGAATGTAAGATAAAAGATAAAAAAAAAAGTACATCATAAAGTAGTATAAATTGAAAAGTAGCTCTTTAGATAGAAGACAATACATAACAGAATGGATATCTGTTATTATGGAGGGTAAAACATAACATGGAAAGTAAAATTGAGGGATAGAAAAATGCAAGGAGGGTAAACATAACGTGGAGGGTAAACCATAACATGGAGGGTAAAACATAACATGGAAAGTAAAACTGAAATTGAGGGATAGAAAAATGCAAGGAGGATAAACATAACATGGAGGGTAAACCATAATATGGAGGGTAAACATAACATGGAGGGTAAAACAAAGCATTGATAGTAAAACATAACAAGGAGGATAAACATAACATGGAGGGTAAACCATAATATGGAGGGTAAACATAACATGGAGGGTAAAACAAAGCATTGATAGTAAAACATAACAAGGAGGATAAACATAACATGGAGGGTAAACCATAATATGGAGGGTAAACATAACATGGAGGGTAAAACAAAGCATTGATAGTAAAACGTAACAAGGAGGATAAACATAACATGGAGGGTAAACCATAACATGGAAAGTAAAAATAACATGGAGGGTAAAACAAAGCATTGATAGTAAAACGTAACAAGGAGGATAAACATAACATGGAGGGTAAACCATAATATGGAGGGTAAACATAACATGGAGGGTAAAACAAAGCATTGATAGTAAAACGTAACAAGGAGGATAAACATAACATGGAGGGTAAACCATAACATGGAAAGTAAAAATAAGATGGAGGGTAAGACATAGATTATTTGTTGTTAATTTTTCTTTGGGGATTCTTTCAAGAAAATGAAAAATGTCTGCTTATTTATGGGCAGACAGAACACTTATGGTCATTATTTGTTGTAGCCAGATTTTGACAGTCTAGATGTACGAGGGGGAAAAATTTGTTGCTGATAGTACATAATATACCTGTCCAGTTACAGGATATGCTGGGAAAAAAATTACTAAATATAGATATACAATCTCAGCACAATTTTGTGAGTTGTTTTTACATATATATCATTTACTTAGTGCACTAATGGGTTAACTCCTTATATGATTTAATAGGAGTTAACCTGTTACTGCACTAAGGTGATGATATGGTATAACTGTATGAATGCAAAAACAATAATAAAAGTTATGAGATAAAAAATTTAAGCTTTTTATGTTTGAGCATAATAAAAAATGGGGGAAATCTTTGTAAATGGACAGTTAATAGTTGTCTGTTTTTGTATAATGGTACTTTTTATTGCAACTTAACACCTTGTAAAAGCATGTTGGCTTTTTAGCTCACCTGTCACAAAGTGACAGGGTGAGCTTTTGTGATCGCTTTTCGTCCGGCGTCCGTCCGTAAACTTTTGCTTTAAATGACATCTCCTCATAAACCACTGAGCCAATTTCATCCAAACTTCACAGGAATGTTCCTTTGGTGGTCACCTTTAAAAATTGTTCAAAGAATTTAATTCCATGCAGAACTCTGGTTGCCATGGCAACCGAAAGAAAAATCTTTAAATATCTTCTTTTAAACAACCCTAAGAGCTAGAGCTTAGATATTTGGCATGAAACATCTTCTAGTGAGTGTCTACCAAGTTTGTTCAAATAAAAGCCCTGGGGCGGGGCCAATTTTGACCCAGGGCTTTTATTTGAACAAACTTGGTAGACACTCATTAGAAGATGTTTCATGCTAAATATCTTAGCTCTAGCTCTTTGGGTTCTTTAAAAGAAGATTTTTTAAGTTTTTACTATATGCACATAGGGAAAATCTATGACCCCCTGGGACGGGGCCAATTTTGACCCCAGGGCTTTGATTTTCCCTATATGCATATAGTAAAAACTTAAAAAATCTTCTTTTAAAGAACCCAAAGAGCAAGAGCTAAGATATTTGGCATGAAACATCTTCTAGTGAGTGTCTACCAAGTTTATTCAAATAAAAGCCCTGGGGTCAAAATTGGCCCCGCCCCGGGGGTCATTGATTTTCCCTATATGCATATAGTAAAAACTTAAAAAATCTTCTTTTAAAGAACCATAAGAGCTAGAGCTTAGATATTTGGCATGAAACATCTTCTAGTGAATGTCTACCAAGTTTGTTCAAATAAAAGCCCTGGGGTCAAAATTGGCCCCGCCCCAGGGGGTCATTGATTTTTCCTATATGCATATAGTAAAAACTTAAAAAATCTTCTTTTAAAGAACCCAAAGAACTAGAGCTAAGATATTAAGCATGAAACATCTTCTAGTGAGTGTCTACCAAGTTTGTTCAAATTAAAGCCCTGGGTCAAAATTGGTCCCGCCCCGGGGGGGTCATTGATGTTCCCTATATGCATATAGTAAGAACTTAAAAAATCTTCTTTTAAAGAACCATAAGAGCTAGAGCTTAGATATTTGGCATGAAACGTCTTCTAGTGAATGTCTACCAAGTTTGTTCAAATAAAAGCCCTGGGGTCATAATTGACCCCGCCCCAGGGGGTCATAGATTTTCCCTATATGCATATAGTAAAAACTTAAAAAATCTTCTTTTAAAGAACCCAAAGAGCTAGAGCTAAGATATTTAGCATGAAACATCTTCTAATGAGTGTCTACCAAGTTTGTACAAATAAAAGCCCTGGGGTCAAAATTGGCCTCGTCCCAAAAACTTAAAAATCTTCTTTTAAAGAACTCAAAGAGCTAGAGCTAAGATATTTAGCATGAAACATGTTCTAATGGGTGTCTACCAAGTATGTTCAAATAAACTGCTAATTCAGTCTTACCTACAAAATTTGCTTTTCCCTTTTCCAAAATGTACTGCTACCAGTATTATCTGATGCACTTACAATGAATTATATATATTACATATAAACATATTTCACAGTATTATAGCAACCTATCCTTCTTCCCTTCCTTTTCTATCCGGAAAGTTGACAAATACAATGTACTCTTCCAAGCTTTGGCAACTGTTAATTGCAGAAAGATATATATATTTTATTTGGAAAAAAACAATGTTTATATGGGACAATCATTGTAAATTGGGGAAAATCCAGTTAATGTTTTTGTTAAAATGTAATTGTCAATTAGGGAAAAACCTTAAATGTGGAAAATATTGTTTAATGAGGAAAAATTATTTACAGTGTATTAGGAAAAAAAACACTGTATAAACTGTTAAAGTTTTATGCCATTTAATGTACATGTATTATGAAAATCAAATTTTATTGTTTATTTATGACATTCCATAACTATTTATGTAATGGCCGTTGTGAACTAAATGCATGAATGTACTTATTACTTTGTTGATATTTTAGTTATATTTATTTTTTTTTTCTAATTTTTTTTCAGTTTATAATTTGTTTGTTCAGGCCACTTCTATGCTTGATTGTGCAGTAACTGTGCAGACAGTTTGATAATGACAACTCAAACATGTTATTTAAGGTTAAATCAATTAATGAATCCTTACTGAATATAATTATTTAAGAAAACAACACGTTTGAACTAACTGTACAGGAAGTTAAAGTGTGGTTTTATGCGCTAAATATAGCTATTCATTAGCAGAATCTAAAGTATATTCACTTCCACTAATATTTGAATTAATTATGTACATATTAACATAGTCTATGTCCAATACATTTGATTTTTTAAGGTTATCCAAAGGTTTAAATACTAAGACACTTAAACCAGTCTGAGAATGCTGTCTTTTGATTGGTTGATTATTCAAATTTATTTGAAATTGACCAATGATAAACCTCAAAAAAATAGACTGTTGTTTGTTAGCAATAATTACCAAAGTTTTGATTCTGAAATATGTGAAAATCAAAAATAAAGAAGTGGCTTGTTTATAATTATATACAATGTATTTAGTTGATTATTTTTATTTTTTGTAGCTTTTATTTGAGTATCTTTCTTTGCTTTTTGCCTTTTCAGTAGCATCAAAAAATGACTGTGCATGTTTAGTTACAACCTATAACAAATTAAGTCGCCTCTGGGATAACAAAGACAAACAGGAGTATGAAAAACAACAACAACAACTTCTACTGCAGCAACAACAACAACAATCGAATCAAAACAAACATTCAGACAGTTCTGTACCTTATAACCCTTACCCAATGAATAGTTTTGTTAGTTCACATAACTCCTCCGCCAACAATACGTATGCTCAGCTAGGAATGAATTCGTACCCCACCCACCCTCCTATGCATTTCGTAAAGGATACAAGAGATACATCAAGCTGCTCTGGTTTGTAACCTTGACCTTATGTCTATTGTCTATTTTTAGATCATCTATTTTTAGATCATTCTATTTTTAGATCAGTTTTTTTTTATTTTTAGCTCACCTGTCACAAAGTGACAGGGTGAGCTTTTGTGATCGCTTTTTGTCCGGCGTCCGTCCGTCATCCGTCTGTCGTCGGTCCGTCCGTTAACTTTTACTTTAAATGACATCTCCTTCAAAAACCACTAAGCCAATTTCATCCAAACTTCACAGGAATGTTCCTTTGGTGGTCACCTTTAAAAATTTTTCAAAGAATTTAATTCCATGCAGAACTCTGGTTGCCATGGCAACCGAAAGAAAAAACTTTAAATATCTTTTTTTAAAAAACCCAAAGAGCTAGAGCTAAGATATTTGGCATGAAGCATCTTCTGGTGAGTGTCTACCAAGTTTGTTCAAATAAAAGCCCTTGGGTCAAAATTGGCCCCACCCCAGGGGGTCATAGATTTTCCCTATATGCATATAGTAAAAACTTAAAAAATCTTCTTTTTAAGAACCCAAAGAGCTAGAGCTAAGATATTTGGCATGAAGCATCTTCTAGTGAGTGTCTACCAAGTTTGTTCAAATAAAAGCCCTGGGGTCAAAATTGGCCCCGCCCCAGGGGGTCATTGATTTTCCCTATATGCATATAGTAAAAACTTAACAATTCTTCTTTTAAAGAACTCAAAGAGCTAGAGCTAAGATATTTAGCATGAAGCATGTTCTAATGGGTGTCTACCAAGTTTGTTCAAATAAATGCCCTGGAGTCAAATTTGGCCCCTTCCCGGGGGTCATTGATTTTCCTTTTATGTGTATAACAAAAACTTCAAAAATCTTCTATGAAAAAACCAAAAAAGCTAGTGTTTAGATATTAAGCATGAAACATCTTCTAGTGAGTGTCTACAAATTTGTTCAAATAAAAGCCCTGGGGTCAAAATTGGCCCCGCCCCTGGGGGTCATAGATTTTCCCTATATGCATTTAGTAAAAATTTAAAAAGTCTTATTTTAAAGAACCCAAAGAGCTAGAGCTAAGATATTTAGCATGAAACATCTTCTCATGAGTGTCTACCAAGTTTGTTCAAATAAAAGCCCTGGGGTCAAAATTGGCCCCGCCCCAGGGGGTCATTGATTTTCCCTATATGCATTTAGTAAAAATTTAAAAAGTCTTATTTTAAAGAACCCAAAGAGCTAGAGCTAAGATATTTTGCATGAAACATCTTCTCATGAGTGTCTACCAAGTTTGTTCAAATAAAAGCCCTGGGGTCAAAATTGGCCCCGCCCCAGGGGGTCATTGATTTTCCCTATATGCATATAGTAAAAACTTAACAATTCTTCTTTTAAAGAACTCAAAGAGCTATAGCTAAGATATTTAGCATGAAACATGTTCTAATGGGTGTCTACCAAGTTTGTTCAAATAAAAGCCCTGGGGTCAATATTGGCCGCACCCCGGGGGTCATTAATTTTCCTTATATGTGTATAGCAAAAACTTAAAAGTCTTCTTTGAAAAAACCCAAATAGGTTCTGTTTAGATATTAAGCATGAAACATCTTCTACTAAGTGTCTACAAAGTTTGTTCAAATGAAAGCCCTGGGGTCAAAACTGGCCCCGCCCCAGGGGTGTCATTGTTATAAGTGTATAGTAAAAACTTAAAAAATCTTCTTTTAAAAAACCCAATGAGCTAGAGCTTAGATGTTATGCATGAAACATCTTCTTATAGTTTGTTCAAATAAAAGCCTTTGGGTTAAAATTAGCCCTGCCAGGGGGGGGGGGGGGGGGGGGGGAGGTCATCGTTTTTCATTATATGTGTATAGTAAAACTTTAACATCATGAAACATCTTCTAATGGGTGTCTTCCAAGTTTGTTCAAATAAAAGCCCTGGGGTTTAAACTGGCCTCGCTCCGGGGGCCTATATACAGGTGAGCGACCTCAGGGCCATCATGGCCCTCTTGTTTATTTTTCTTTTAGCAAAGAATTTTTTGCTCAACCTAAGCTTTATAGAGACATTTTTATCTGTAATTTCATACTGGAGAAGTTTTAAGGGGTTATAAGTTGGTAAGGTTATTAGTTAATGTCAATCAATTAGTGGTGGCATGGCCGAGTGGTTAACACGTCAGACTTAAGTAATCTAATGATGGCTAGCCACATGGGTTTAAACCCTGTCAGGGGCAAGTCATTGTTTCCTTAAGGCATTAAGCAAGAAACTTACACTCATTGCTCAGTACTGGTTGATTCCAGGAATGATTTCGAGAGTGTATTTATAAAATTATAGCTTCCTGAACAATCAAGCTAAAATAAATTCCGTATAAACCATTGTCAAGCAAATAATAATTTTCCTGGAAGAGCTCATGTGACCGAAATATTAATTTCAAATGATTGTGATATTAAATAACTTTAATTTAGGTGAATGTTTTCATTGTCAAATTTCTTACCATTTATCCTCTAAATTTATATTGGCAGGTTTTATGACATGCCCAGGGTCTACAATTCTATTTTTTCTTCAACAGATGAATTATAACATTTTTTTTTTCTTCTTATTTCTTATCAGACACAAATAAATATTTGATTAATCAGGGTAGTTTGACTTTGTGATTGCCAAGGAGATGAGTGCTTTGTAGAAAAGCTTTGCTTAGCATTTAACCCTTCTTAATCTGCTGAATTTATGTATGGATTTTGCCCTATTTTGAATTCAGTACTGGCCAATAAGGGATTTCAATATCAAAGTACAAAAATTAAGCCTTTAAGCAAAAATAAAGCCTGGTCTGACTGTACTTCTGTACAGGCTGGCCTGGCTTACAATGTCTTGGTGGGCAATACAAATCACTCAGTTCAAGCAGGTTAAGATATCTTTCTCATTATCAAGTTTGTTGTGCATATTTCCAAAGTAATTGTTTTTCAAATAAAAGCCCTGGGGTCAAAATTGGCCCCGCCCCGGGGGTCATTGATTTTCCTTATATGTGTAAAGCATATATATACCTTATGGTGTTTTTGAGGAAATTCAAGATTTCATTAATGCCAATAGAGCACTCTTCATATAATATTATAGGCCAGAATCTGTATTTTTGGATGTTAGGTTGTAACAGGTCTGTGGTTATACTTTGTTACTACCGTGCCTGTGCCTAAACCTAATTAAGGCACCTCACATCCTGCCCACCACTGATAATGATGAAAAATTGTCATAATGACCTTCATAGTGTCAGTGTTGGTGATAAATCAGCAGACAAAAAAAGTATGTAATTATTGTTTTTATAAGCAATTCAGGCCAACTTTCTTTAAATATCGAGGACATGTTTGTGTATTACAGGTAGCAGTGCATCGGGTAGTAGTCGAAGAGAAAAAGACAAGAAAAAGTCATCTAGTCCAGCAGGAAGTGGTGGGAGTGACACAGAAACGGTCGCTAGTTCTCGCATTGATCCTAGCGAGACGGGAGGGCAACGTCCGACTTTGGGCGTGCCACAGGACGTTAGTGCAAGCAGACAGTCATTCAGAATGGCTATGGGAAACCCATGTGAGTTCTTTGTGGATGTCATGTGATCTGTATTGTGGCCCCTTTACAGCCAATGAGAAACTTTGTACTATTTTTTTGTGAACAACCAATGAAAAGCTTTGTTACATTTTTAAGTTGGGTATGTTTTTACTGCAAAAATAAAACAGAACAGTGAAAGACTGTGTTGGAAATTATTATACTGTGAGATGTTTTACTGGAATATAAAGTGAAGGGTTTTCATTGGTTGGAATTGGAGAGAGAACGTAAAATGTTATGCATGATTGTTGTACACACAAATTACTAAACTCCCAGAATGCTGTACTAAAGTATAAACTAGAACATAAAAGGGGGACGAAGAAAGGTTTGAACAAATCGTAGTAGTTTTACTGCTTACATATATGTACATGTAGTGGTGCTGATGGCTAAGAAATATAGATGTTATCAATCAAAAATGGTCGGTGCGGGACGATCTCCATTTTATTTTCATATATGTCAAAAACTGTCGAGCATCGAACCTTTTGAATTGCCAATCTATATGAATAAGTATTATGTAGTATTTATATGTGTTGGTGTGAACTATTTATCTCCCAGATATAATTATATATATATATATTATACACCATATTCTCCACCTTGTTGTCGTTGTTGCTAGAAATCAAACTGGAATAATTGAAATGTTTTGTTATAATGGGGTTAATGGGAATCTCATATTGGTCTACATCGAAGTTTCAATCAAAGAATGAAATTTATGTCTTACAGTGTTATACCATTTGAAGTAACATTGGATGTTGGCATACAAGAATAAATAAATGCATAGAAATTGTTTAAATTTTATTAAGGGCTCCTCGAGTTTTTATTTGCAAATAAAAAACATAATTTTTAAACCTTGAGAAGTTAAAGTGTTTAATCAATGTTAACATATTTTAAATATTCTATTTGGCACTTCACATTTTATGCCAGATTATTTCTTTGACTAGTGTTTACATCTTTAATAACAAATATTTCTACCATATACCTAACATATTGACACCTAAGTACAGTAATGTGTTAACTTCCATTAAATTATATCCGGTGTTAACCCGTTACTGCACTAAGGTGACAATATAAAAAAAAATATTTTTTTATTGATCTCTATAAATGCATTTGGCAAGCATAAATTACTTTATTTCAATACTAAACAATACTACTACTATTTTGAACATTTCCTAAAAAAAATTTCAACCATCATCACACTAAATAGACTTGTCAATCAGGGCCAAACCATTTATCATTTTTACGGATATTTTCAAAATATTTTACTCATTAAACAGCTAACAGTGTAGACTATGATCAGACAGCACAAATGCATCAGCTGTTCAAAGTCTGCACTGGTTGTACAAGTAGAATTTTTTGCACCAGCAGGCTTAGAGTTAAAAAATAACATCAAAATAAAGTGTCAATTTAGTGCAATAAACTATTAACTCCTATTAAATTTAGAAGAAGTTATTCCCATACTGTACTCAGATGACAATGATTATTTTGGAGGTTTACCACTTCCTAATGGGAAGAATATTAGTTGTTAGTGCAGAAATTTATTTCGTTAATGACAAGGATTTATTGCTATTTTTCTATCAGTCTAAATAGATTGTATCCAGTAAACTTTGATTATACAAACTATCAATACAAGACTGCGACATTTATTGTATTAAATATATCATCATAGAGTATAATTTTGCATAATGTAATGAAATTTTCAAGTTTATTATTGGTATAGTACACCACTTAGTTGCACAGTTATTTTAAAATTATATTCTGTATATTTTAAGATGAAATTTGCATTTCACGTGGATGTAAGTAAGACTATCTAAGGTGTACTTTAAATCCTGGTTGAATGGTTAAGGTTGCTTATTTAAAATCACTTGCCCATCACGACTTTAGGTTCGAGTCCTGTAGTGGACATTGGATACTTTCATGTGCAGAAGCTATCCAGCTAGGTTACAGAAGATTAATTGTTCTACTCTCCTGACCTCATGCCTGAAATAATACTAGCACTGGCTCCTAAATTCTTCCTGAAATGTCTTCTTGCACCAGTAACACCTGAAATTGGTCATATGACCTTTTAAATTGTCAATTTGACTTTAAGCACAATCATAAATCAAAAGAGTCTGAGGTGTGATTTAAATGGATTGAATTTTATGACACATACAAGTACTGACATTTTTTAGAGCTAGATACTTTTTAGATACATTTTGTGTTGTTAAATGTTAGTTTAAAAGTCTGTTATAGTAATGGGTCACAACATACATAAGATATAAATACATGTATAGATAAATATTTCAACTAAAAACAGGTTAATGCCAGCAAATGTTTCTTATTGTGTGCAATGGGATACAATGTACAGTAGAACTTCGGTAAGTCGAAGTTGAAGGGACTTGTGTAAAAACTTCGACACATCGGGACTTCGACTCATGAATCACACTCAATTCCATGACGAAACCTATTTCATAATTTTTCCATCATTAATCTGATATTCACATTTTACAATGATAAATATAGCATGTTAAATATCGTTTTTCACGGCTAATTATTTGGACTACCAGTTGACAACAAAAGAGTTACAAAAGGCGTAACAATACGAAAGGGCGATAACTTAACCAACTTATAGTATATATTTCGCGTGTTATTCTCACGCGACACCGGGTCAAGGATGTAATCAAATGACAGTAGTTTTTACTGTTTACTTTTAAATACCACTACAGCAATTAAAATAGTAACGATTAAAGCATTTTATCACACATTTTATCGCAAACAAAGGCTGTTTGAACACACGGCTTTGTAATTAACACCCGACACACAAGTTGATTGGAAATCGTCTTCGCAGCCAGATAAGGTGTGAAAAATGTCTCGAGATCGACAGTGTCAAAAAAATCGAACGACTTCGACTTATTTGCGGGTAATTGCACTAGATTTATTTAACACGGACCACGAAAAAACTTCGACACATCGAAAAATTCGACACATAAAATCTCGACTCATCAATAGGTTTTTATAAGGAATATATAGGGGGGAAAGTCGGGACTTTAATTTTTCTTCGACACATCGAGAAAATCGACTAATCGAAGTTCGACTCATAGAAGTTCTACTGTACTACCTAAAATGCAGACTTTTGTTTTTTTTTGGTTTTGTTTCTTTTAAAGTTTTATAGCTACCTAGAAATGGTAATATCTTTTAAGTATTCAAGAACAGGTCTCAACTTTGACATTTAAGGATGGGAATAGTACAATCATTTTAGTTTTAAAGTTATATAATTATATTCTATGAATATGCATGTATGACCTCTGACCTGACACGTGTTACCTATTTTAAATAAATTCACGTAATTATGTATAATTGTATGCATATTTTGTTATTGCTAATGCAATAAGACAGGATACTGTGAATGGCATGTTTTGATGAATTAAGAACTTTCTGCATATTTGATGCATTTCTTATGCATATTTGATGCATTTCTTATGCATATTTGATGCATTTCTTATGCATATTTGATGCATTTTCAATGCATAGTCGGCCATTTTGAATATTGCATGCTGTAACTGTCACATTACTGTCAATCTTTGTTACCTTTTAAAAAGTTGATATTCAGTGGGTTGAGATATGGTTGCATTTTTGGTATTTGACATGGAGTGTTGTGAATGAAAATATTCAAACATAGAGTAGCTTTTTTGTAAAGTTGTGAGTCACAAATTCAGAACAGAAAATTTTAACTACCGGGTATGTTTAAATGCATGGCAAAATTTGTGCAAAGTGTGCAAAAGAAAACATAAATGTACAAAGCATAGACAATGCGATATATATACATATAAACTGGGGCTTTTTTTTTACACCAACACTGTAGAAATTTTGGGAAGACATGGTATTTAGTAAATATATTGAGACAAAAAAGGTGGATACTCCACCATGAGGACATTCAATGGCAACCATGTATCTCAAACCCTGAATTTCTTGTGCATTGAATGTGCCATGATTTATACAAATATTCATTAAAGATATAAACTTAACAAAAAATAAACAGCTTTTGTATTTTCCTAGAATTGATGTTGAATTTGCATAATGTGCTTTTTGCATACTTAAAGTATAATTTATGCTTTGTAACAATTAAGGAGCAATTAAGATTTGAATGTTGTTTTGTAGAAATGAATTGGAAAGATTTGTTAACATAAAGAGAAATACGTGTTTAATTGACAGGTGATTCAGTCATGGATTTGTGACCTTGACATTTGTGATCATAGCAACAGTAGAATGTAGTTGACCTTGTGACCTTGATATTCCCCGCCTAAGGTCATTGCCATGGCAACAGAGAAGAGGTCCAGAATCAGATTTACCAAATTATTTAGGAAAAAATTTTAAAATTCGAGCAACATATTAGTGTGATGATGAAAGGAAGAAGATTATGTGCAATTTAATTTTTTTTTTTTTTTTTCAAAGAACAGTAATTTTCATATCAATTTTTTTTATCATGAAAGTGTATTGTGTCACTTTTCTTCACCCCATATTTTATAGGTTTGTTTTATTATTGAATCATATTACATAATTACGTGTCATTTTTACTGCAAACTGATTGCTTTTTATAATGTGTGTATAAATATTTATTTATTTTTTTGCAATTTTTATATCCCATTTGAAAAAATTAGAATTCGACATTACTGGTACATTGAATAGATAAGTGGGCTATTAACATAAGAATAAGGTTTTAATGCAAAAGCAGCACTTGTAATCGAACTGTCATATTGAGAGTTGTCTGATATTTTGAAATGATTTTATTACATTATTCCGACCACATGAATTTTTTTTGCATGTGACTTAGATTTTGCTCTTAATTTAGAACCGTATTTAATTGACTTTAGAGGGGCATCCATGGCCCAGTGGTTAAGGTCATTGACTTTTAACCACTTGCCCCTCACCACTGGGTTTGAATCACAACAGGGACTTTAGATAGCTAATGGAATATTGGTGGTTCTACTCAAGGTCACATTAGTATCTGA